CCAGGGCTTCTCTCATGTAGGACAAGCACTTTATCACTGAGCTACACCTCTAGTCCATTTTAAATTTTATTTTGAGACAGGGTCTTCCTAAATTGCCCAGCTGGCCTTGAACTTGAGATTCTTCTGGCCTCAGCCTTCTGAGTAGAATAACACACAAGGCAAGCGCCACTACACCTGACTGATATCACTTTTAATCTTTATGAAAACCTGATGGAGTAGGAGCTATTTGTATCCCCATTGATCAGCTCAAACTGAAGTTTAGATAAGTTAGATCATATAGCTAGTGCTAGACCAGCAGTTCTCAAAGTAGCCACAACTTTGGCTTTGCAAAGGAACCTGTTAGAAATGCAAATTTTGGGGCTAGGGCTGGGGCTCAATGGTAGCACACTCGCCTGGCATGTGTGAGGCACTGGGTTTGATTCTCAGCACCACGGATAAATAAATAAAGGTCTATCAACAACTAAAAAAAAAAAAAAAAAAAAGTTAAAAAAAGAAAAAGAAATGCAAATTTGGGTCCGCACAGTGGAGGTAATCCCAGCGGCTAGAGAGTCTGAGACAGGATGATCACAAGTTCAAAGCCAATCTCAGCAACTGCAAGGGCTAAGCAATTCAGTGAGATTCTATCTCTCAATAAAATACAAAACAGGGCTGGGGATGTGGCTCATTGGTTGAGTTCCCCTGAGTTCAATCCCCAGTACCCCCCAAAAAAGGGGAAGAAATGCAAATTTGGACTGGCAAATGGAATCCAAAGGCATATTAAAAAATAGTGCACCCCAATCAAGTGGGGTTCATCCCAGGGATGCAAGGTTGGTTCAACATATGGAAATCAATAAATGTAATTCATCACATCAATAGACTTAAAGATAAGAATCATATGATCATCTTAGTAGATGCAGAAAAAGCATTTGACAAAATATAACACCCCTTCATGTTCAAAACACTAGAAAAACTAGGGATAATAGGAATATATCTCAACTCTGTAAAAGCTATCTATGCTAAACCCAAGGCCATTATTCTAAATAGAGAAAAATTTAAAGCATTCCCTTTAAAAACTGGAACAAGACAGGAATGCCTTCTTTCATCACTTCTATTTAACATAGTCCTTGAAACTCTAGCCAGAGCTGTTAGACAGATGAAAGAAATTAAAGGAACAGAAATAGGAAAAAAAAAACTCAAACTATCACTATTTGCTGATGACATGATTCTATACTTAGAGGATCTGAAAAATTCCACCAGAAAACTTCTAGAACTAATAAATTAATTTTGCAAAGTAGCAGGATATAAAATCAATACTCATAAATCAAGTGCATTTCTGTACATCAGTAATGAATCCTCTGAAAGGAAAACTACCCCATTTACAATAGCCTCAAAAAAAAAAAAAAAAAACCTTGGGAATCAACTTAGTAAAAGAGGTGAAAAACCTCTACAATGAAAACTACAGAGGGGTTGGGGATGTAGCTCAGTGGTAGAGTGTTTGCCTAGCATTCATGAAGCCCATGTTTATAGCAGCACAATTCACCATAGCATAGCTAAATTGTGGAACCAACCTAGATGCCCTTCAACAGATGAATTGATAAAGAAACTGTGGTATATATACACAATGGAATATTACTCAGTATTAAAAGAGAATAAAATCATGGCATTTGCAGGTAAATGGATGGAGTTGGAGAATATCATGCTAACTGAAGTAAGCCAATCCCAGAAAACCAAGGGCTAAATGTTTTCTCTGATAAGTGGATGCTGATCAATAATGGGGGTAGGAGGGCATGGGAGGAATGGAGGAACTTTAGATAGAGCAAAGGGGAGGGAGGGGAAGGAGGGGGCACGTGGGTAGGAAAGATGGTGGAGAGGGACATCATAACTCTAGATACATGTATGAAAACATGAATGGTGTGACTCTACTTTGTGTACAACAAGAGAAATGAAAAATTGTGCTCCATTTGTGTACTATGAACTATAGTGCATTCTGCTCTCATGTATAATAAATTAGAACAAATTAATTAATTAATTAATAAAAAAGGAAAGAAATGTAAATTTGGGGCAGGGGGTGTGGCTCAATGGAAGAGCATGGTGCTGCTGGAGGTCCTGGATTTGATTCCCAGCACCACAATTAACACCAAAAAAAAAAAAAAAAAAAAAAAAAGAAATGCAAATTCTTAGATGCCATTTCAGACATTCTGAGCTGGAAAGTCTGGGGTGGAGCCCAGCAATCTGAACCTCAACAAGCCCTCAGGTGATTATGATTCACTAAAGTGTGAAAACCCTGTGCTAAAAGAAAGATAAGATTAAATTTTTATTTGTTTTTATTTATTTATTTTTTGGGGGGGTACTAGGGATTGAACCCACAGGTGCTTAACCATTGAGTCACATTCCAGCCCAATTTTGTATTTTATTTAGAGACAGGGTCTCTCTGAGTTGCTTAGTGCCTCACTAAATTGCTAAGGCTGGCTTTGAACTTGAGATCCTCCTCCTGTCTCAGCCTCTGGAGCTGCTGAGATTATAGGCATGTGCCACCTTATTAAAATATAATTCCATGTCAGGCACAGGTGATGAATGTGTGTGTGTGTGTGTATGTATATATATATATATATATATATATATTTATATATTTATACACACACACATACATATATATATTTCCTTTACTCTATAATTCATCTGCCCAATCAAGTATACAATTCAATGAGTTTTAGTATATTTATAGAGTTGTGCAACCATCACCAAAATACACTGTACTTAGATGAACAGATTAGAACATTTTGTTTCCCCTAAAAGAGACCCTGTACCCACTAGCAGCTACTCTCCATTTCCCTCCCACTCTACAATTACACCCCTAAGCAACCACTAATCTATTTTCTGATTTTAGATTTGTCTATTCTGTGCATGAAATATATGTAGAATTGTTATTGGGCAGACTGCTCAGAAAACATACCAAGTCCATTTTGTCCAATTTTTGTCCAAATTGGAGAATAGCATGGAGCCTGATAATTTCAGGATCTTTGAAGGCAAAAACCACAAAAACCGGGGCTGGGGATATAGCTCAGTTGGTAGAGTGTTTGACTCACATGGTTCAATCCCCAGCACCACACAAAAAAAATGTTAGTTCTTTATGGGGCTGGGGCTGGGGCTCAGTGGCAGAGCGCCCGCCTTGCACATGTGAGGCACTGGGTTCAATCCTCAGCACCACATAAAAATAAATAAACAAAAATAGAGATATTGCATCCATCTATAACTAAAAAATATTAAAAAAAAAAAACCCGCAAAAACCACATCTGGTTTTACGTAGCTACAAGCAAGCAGGGGTACAGAAGCTGAATTGAGTAGCTAGCGAAACAATGCAATGGGTACATTGGTATTTCCCAGGGGACTTTCCAGGTTGGCATAACAACAAGCAAGCAGAAGGGAACTGGGTCAAAATGACCCTAGTTGAGGTACAAGATAGAGAATGGTTACTAATGTCTAGATAATCTCTGACAGGCCAAGAAAAAAGGGAACCAAAGAGAGAACAATTTTACATTGTATAAGAATTTCCATTTTGGGTTGCCAAATATGCCATGCTAAGCAACCATAGATAGGTACAGAGGCAGAGTGTTCCCATGGGAGAAGCATTTCTTATATGATACGGAGTCTCGGGGTAAAATGGAGTCTGTTTGGTCATTGCCCATGTATTCTGGTCCATAACAAAATCAGACAGTAGGTGTATGATATGATCTTTTGTGACTGCCCTCCTGCACTCTGTATAATGTTTGGGGTTGGTTTGTAAAACAACAACAACAAATAAATAAATAAATAAATAAAACCCCATAAAACATTATGGGGTTTATTTTACAAAACATTATGTACTGGGGTTTGGTGGAAGCTAGGCAAGCAGTCCGCCACTGCGCTACATTCCCAGTCCTACTCTGCATAATGTTTTCAAGGTTCATCCACATAGTAACATGTATGTTTTTAATAAAATATTTTATTAATCTTTTTGATAAGTGATATACTGTGTATATACTCTATTTTCTTACCCATTATCAATTGGTGAACGTTTGGGTTAGTTCTACCTTTTGGCTATTAAGAAATATGCTGTGACATTTGTATACAGTTTTGGCGTGGACATATGTTTTCATTTCTCTTAAGGGTGTGTTTGTGCGTGTATGAATGAGAAAGTGAGAGAGAGATTGCTGTATTATAGATCTTACTTTTGAATTGAATCCAGGAGTGCCTTACCACTGAGTCACATCCCCAGCCCTTTTTATTTTTTATTTTGAAACAGGGTCTTTTTTTTATATAAATACTATTTTTAGTTGTCAATGAACTTTATTTTTTTATATGTGGTGCTGATAATTGAACCCAGTGTCTCACACATGCTAGGCAAGCGCTCTACCATTGAGCCACAACCCCATCCCCCACCCCGAAACAGGGTCTTGCTCAGTTGTTTAGGGTCTTGCTAAGTTGCTGAGGCTGGCTTTGAACTCACAATCCTCATGCCTCAGCCTCCACAGCCAATCTAACACTCTTACCCACGACACATTTCAATTTCTTTTACTTTCTGCTATATTTAAAATTTACTGTGAATAACACCAATATCACTCCATCCATTCTCTACATTGCAAAACCATTACCATCACTAATCCTCACCTCAACCCTATAAAACAGGAATCACTGTCTCTGTGGGGCTCACAGAAGAAAGAGGACTGGTTTGAGCCGAAACAACCCATGTGGAGCAGAGGTAGAATCCTAACTTGCATATGCCTGCTTTCTGTGCCCTCTTACCTGATAGCATGGTCTGGACCATACCCATTTCCAAAGCTTTCAAAACATGCCTTCTTCCCTCCTTTCAAGACTTTTCTGGAAATCAGACTGGCTTGGAATCCCTAGGGAGAGCTGCAAACTTACTCCCTATGCTCTTTTCCCTGGCTGGGCTGAAGGCCAGGGGAGTGGCTTCCTGGGAACTGGAAATAAAATGGAGGGAGGCCTGGGCCGGGCTGGGCACAATTGCAAGGAGGCTAGGAGGCTGTGAGGGGGAGGTGAGGAGTCTGGGGTGTTTTTGCTCCTGGAGAGCAGGTGTGGTAGTGATTGGCAGTTTTCCTAGGGACAGGACTGAGGAGTGTGGCCAAAGCAAGTGGGCTGAGGTAGTACTAAGTGCGAAAGCGGGGCTTTCGGCCTCTGTGGGGGCTGGCTTGGGGAGAGCCCGGAGATCTTGGAAGAGCAATGCTACCTGTCTGGGGAGGGGGCTTTTGTTCCATGCCCACTCCTTGTGCCCCCTGCTCTGTGCCCAGCACTCTCTATGCTGGGCGCTAAAAATAAGAGCGAGCAGCTCAAGGCCAGGTAGCCAGGGATTGGAGAGACTAGAAACTGGGGCTTCAAGACTAAATGTTCAGCTCTGTGTCAGGGAAAGACATTATAGGAAGGAGAGACTTGTGCAAAAGGTTTGGAGTATGCAAAAGTTTCAGTGTGGTGATATGGGAGTAAACGTGGAGGCAGGTGAGCCCAGGGCTACCTGCCTAGACCTGTGCTGTTCAATGTGGGTGACAGGAGTCACAGGCCACAGTGGCAATTTAAACTGAAGTTAGCTAAAATTCAACAAAATTAAAAATCCAGCTTCTTAGTCATATTAGCCACATTTCAAGTGCTCGATTGCCCCATGTGGCTCATAGCTATGGTATTGGAGAGCACAAACAGAACATCTCCACCATCACAGAAAGTTCTTTGGGCCAGCGGGAAGTCTGAGTGATTTGATTACTTAAGGACTCATGGGAGAGGGCAGGCTCAGACCAGGCTGGCTGCCTAGGAAGTCTCTGGACTATAGGTGACCTTCAGGTCCCCAGAAGCAAGCATGAGGTGGTGTGACTCACCTCCTGCCAGTGTAAAGTGAACTCTGCCCTGGGGACAGGAGCAACCCAGGCAGGGCCTCTTCAGCCCCAACTTGGGATCCCTGTTCAGTGTGACAGAGCCAGTGACAGAGAAACATGGAGTGAGTGGAGCTGGGGCAGGGGAGCAGCTACCAGGGGTGCTGAGCCTGAGCACAGAGATGAGGAGGGGAGCCTATGGCTTGGTCATAGACATGCATGGGGCTGGTGTGTGTGAATTGGGATGAGAGATCAGTGCCGGGACTTGCTGGACTGGAGGCTGAGTTGTACTGTGTCCAATGACCAGAGAGAGGGACACCCTTCCTTCCCACTCTAACCACCTTTTTCTGCCTCCTTCCCAGATCCAAAACACTCCAGCTGAGGAGGATGGAATATGCCATGAAGTCCCTCAGCCTTCTCCACCCCAAGTCCCTGTCCAGGTAAGGAGAGTCAATGGTGGAGGGGTAGGAGAGCTACCTAGCAGCTGTGGGTGAGACCTTCTCAAATGTGAATGGTTGCATAAGTCACGTGGGAATCTTGTTAAAATATAGATTCTGATCTGGAGATCTGAAGTGGTACCTGGGGTTTTGCAAGTTTGAGAAGCCCCTAGGTGATGTGAACGCTGCCACCATCAAGCCACGACCACACTTGGGGTAGAGGTGGGAAGGCTCTGTGCTTGGCACTTCCATTCCTGATCTTGGGTAGGCCTCACAATGACTATGGGAAGCAGGGTTCATTATACCAAATGGATAGATAAGGAAACTGAGGCACAGGGTGGGCACTCTCCCTCACCTAGCAGATCTGTAACAGAGCCAAGATTTGAATTTGGGCCTATACAAATCCAAGCTCCATCTTCTCTCTACTCCTTTAGTTCTGCTTTGTGCACCTCAGTGTCCAAAAACATCTCACAGGCTTCCCCGACTTCATCCCACTTTACAGGTGAAATTAGTAAGGCCATGAGAAGAAAGTGGTCTTTGGGGGAATGCTGGGTGGGTCTTTTATCAACTTGCTACTCTTCATGGTCCAAGAACCAGCCAAATTGTCATTACTTGGGAACTTGTTAGACATATGAGACCCTCAGGTCCCATCCCACCCACACTAATCAGAATCTTCATTTGAGCAAGATCTGCATGTGACTTATATGCCCATCACAGTCTGAGCAGGTTTTTGAGTAAGGCCATCTGGAGCACATCCCACCATCTGGGTGGGATGAAGAAGGCACATGATGATCCTAGTCTGAAGTGGTAGATAAGTGGCTCATCCTGATGTTCCCAACTTCTCCCAGGCATGTGGCAGTGAGCACTTCAGTGGTGACCCAGCAGCTGCTGTCTGAGCCCAGCCTGGAGGCCCCCAGGGCCCGGCCCTGCCGAGTAAGCACAGCAGATCGGAGAGTGCGCAAGGGCATCACGGCACACAGCCTTAAGGACCTGCTCCACAAGGTGAGGGGCCTGCCTGTACTCCACACAGTCCAAGTCCTGGGGCCTTGGCTGAGAGCTGGCCCTGCCTTCTGTCTTCCAGGTCATGAGCTGGGATTTGACAGGGGTGGAAAGTCTTCCTTTCTGATATTAGCACCCTGGTGTTTTGGCACCCCCTCTTTCACAGAAAATCTTAATTAAGCTTCTCCAGAAATCTTCTTCACCATAATTGATCTTAGGACTATCAGCAAAAGAGTCTCTACAAAAGAGTTCAATGTAGTTAAACTTTGTATTTCCTATTGCTCTATCTTATTTGCCCACCAGCCTACAAGAGATCAGCACTCCAGGTGCTAAACACCCCTTTACTAGTTTTTCACAAACATTTATGGAATATCCAGTGTAGTAGTTTGTAAAAGTGTGTTTGCAAATGCAAAGTGTGATAAAAAAAGACAGATCCTTTAACAAGGCCTCTGGTCTTGAGCCAGAGCTTCACAGAGATGTTTACTCCCAAGATAGCAGGGGGAGGGAAGAAAGGGGAGAAGAAGCTCTCCCCTTCTCAGGTGTTGTCCTTGAAGGGTTAATTTCCCAGAAAGGTGAAAGAAAAAAGCTGCTTTTGTGTGAACTTCTGCAGACTGTGAACTTCTGAGCCCTTTCCCTTACATGCTGGGTATAAAGTTCTGAAACTGCCTGAACTTGGGGTTCAGGGGGATTGATTGATTACAGAGAAAGCTTTGCCCTCTGAACCTGGCTATAGCCAAATAAACCTGCTTCCTGATTCCTATGCAGTGTCCTGCCTCGTTGTCCCTGGTTCAAAAGGAGATTCTTGTAGCCACTGAGCTTTGGAGTCCTCCACTCAGAGTCCTATTGCCAAAAAATGTGAGGAGGAACAACAGTGAGACTCCATCTTTTCAAGATGATAGGTCTGAAGGGAATCCTATTGCAGGCTCATCTTGTATTTTCCTTGCCCTAGTCTTTGGATTGGCCATTTTTCTCCTAAAAATTCTGCTTCATTTCCAAGGAGAACGGTATTTCAAAAATCAGGATATGGAAGCTAGGTATATTAATCTATTGGTGTATTGCTTAACCCAGACCCCTTTTGAAGAATTTTAAGCAGGAAAATATATTCTCTAGTGAATCAATCAAGAAATGTAAAGTGAGGGGCTGGGGCTGTAGCTCAGTGGTAGAGCACTTGCCTAGCATGTGTGAGGCACTGGTTCAATCCTCAGCACCACATACAAATAAATAAAATAAAATGAAGGTGTTGTGTCCATCTAAAACTTTAAAAAGTTTTTTTAAAAGAAATGTGAGAATTCTGTCATTCCAAAATAATTAATAATGTGATTATAAATGTCTAGAATGGTCTATTCTTATATAAATACATATATATTCTATGACATGTCATGGGTTTCTTTCCATTTTAATCAACACAGTATACAAATGTAGTAAATGCTGCTTATGGATCATGTACTCTGCTAGATGATTTACAGCATTTCTTTTGTTTTTGTTTTTTTTTTTTTTAAGATAGAAGAGAGAGAGAGAGATAATTTTTTAATATTTATTTTTCAGTTTTCGGTGGACACAACATCTTTATTTTTTTTTCCTTATTTTTATGTGGTGCTGAGGATCGAACCCAGTGCCCCATGCATGCCAGGCGAGGGTGTTACCGCTTGAGCCACATCTCCAGCCCATTTTACAGCATTTCTTTTAATTAAAACCTTTAAGGCAGTTATTACAATTTCCATTTTCCAGAGGCAGAGGCTGAGTTTATTCTCTGAGATTTTTATTATCATTATTAATAGTAGTAGTAGTAGAGATTAATCTCAGGGGTGCTGGATTTACATCCTCAGCCCTTTTTTTGGGAGGTGGGGGTGGTAACCAGGGATTGAACTCAGGCGTACTCAACCACTGAGCCACATCCCCAGCCCTATTTTGTATTTTATTTAGAGACAGGGTCTCGCTGAGTTGCTTAGCACCTCTCTTTACTGAGACTGGCTTTGAACTCGCGATCCTCCAGCCTCAGCCTCCTGAGCCACGGGGATTACAGGCATTCGGCACCACACCCAGCTTCAGTCCTTTTTATTTTATTGTAAGGCAGGGTCTCACTAAGTTGTCCAGGTTGGCTGGGCAAATGAGATCCTCCTGCCTCACCCTCCCAAGTAGTTGAGATTACAGATGTGACCATTGTGCCTGACCATATTCTGGCATTTAAACTCAGGAAGTGAACTCAAGAACACTTGCAATTTTAGGGCCGGGGATATGGCTCAAGCAGTAGCGCGCTCGCCTGGCATGCGTGAGGCACTGGGTTTGATCCTCAGCACCACATACAAATAAAATAAAGATATTATGTCCACCTAAAAAAGCTAAAAAATAAATATTTTTAAAAAGGACACTTACATTTTTAAAAAATATATATTTTAGTTGTAGGTGGACATGGTACCTTTATTTAATTAATTAATTTATTTTAATTAAAACCTTAAGGTAGTTACTACTATTTCCATTTGGCTCAATGGTTGAATACCCCTGAGTTCAATTTCCACTACCAAAAAAAAACCCCCAAAACAAAAAACTTGTACATAAGAGTTCCCAGCAGCATTTTTATAATAGTAAAAAAGTGGAAACAACCCTAATGTTCATCAACTGTTGAAAGAATTAAAAATATGATACATCTATCTAGTGGAATATTACTAGCCAAAATGAGGAATGAATCATGCTATGATATAGATGACTTTTGAAAACATTCTTAGACGTGAGTCTTAGGAGATCCCATGTTGTATAATTCAATTTATATGAATTGTCTGGAAAAGACAAACCCATAGATACAGACAGTAGAAAGTTGCTATGGGATGGGGAATGGGAAAAATGGATAGTAGGTTTATTTCAGGGGTAATGAAAATGCTCTGAAATTAGATAGTAATGATGATTGTACAACTTAGCAAATATACTGAAAAGCACTTTAAAAGAGTGAAATTTATTGTACATAAATTATATCTCACTAAAATTTCATATATATATGAAATTTCATATATATAACCTCTGTTATATTTTATTGGACTGCACTGTTCTAGACTATTAACTCTGAAGTCAAGTACCAAGAGGTACCATAATATAAAAATCTTTGGTGGGGATGCCATGGTAGAATGATGCCTGGGTCTCTCTGCCATCTCCTGGTTTGAGACCCTGGCTCTTTACCTGGCAACTGAAGTGGTATGATGAGTGTCTTCCACACACCAGCTCTGTGGCTACATGTGGATGGCAGAAGCATCACTAACCTTATTCCCCAGGTTCGGGATGTCTTGATGCTGGCAAACAAACCCTTCTCCCTGGTGCTGGAGAAAGATGGCACAATTGTAGAGACAGAAGAGTATTTCCAAGCCCTGGCAGATGATACGGTGTTCATGGTCCTCCAAAAGGGGGAGAAATGGCAGCCTCCATCAAAACAGGTGAGCTCCTACCTATGTAGGGGAGAAAACAGAGAGCTTTGGAGAAGTCTTGAAGTATGCCAACCACGTTTGTCTTGCTACAGGGGCTTAGGTACCAACTTTCCCATAAGCCCACCAAGAAGATTGATGTGGCCCGCATAACCTTTGACCTGTACAAGCTGAACCCACAGGACTTCATTGGCTGCCTGAATGTGAAGGCAACACTCTATAATACATACTCCCTTTCCTATGATCTGCACTGCTACAAAGCCAAGAGCATGGTGAAGTGAGTGAACTGGGGTGAAGTGGGGTCGGAGTGGGTACAGAGCAATGGCAGAGCCCCTATCTGTCCATATTGAGCCCTGCCCTTCTCAGGGCCTGGGTCTTACAAGCGTAACAGTAAGCATTCATGTAGGACTTACAATTATATCTAAGTGCTTGAGTTGCACTCCTAGTGTGTGCCAGAGGGGTACAGGTACTCCATGATGGAACCTGGATACAGGTAGTTGTTTACCTTCTACTATGGCAAACTGCATCTTTTCACCTAAAAAAGTAAGTTTTCTTAAGCAGTCTTCTAATTAACTTTTTTTGGGGCAAAAAGGAGGGAGGGATTGAACCCAGAGCCCCATATACACTGAACACATGCTACAGCGATGGGCAGTGAATCAACTTTTTTTTTGGAGGGGCGGGTAGTACCAGTCATTGAACTCAGGGGCACTCGGTCACTGAGCCCCATCCCAGCCTTATTTTGTATTTTATTTAGAGACAGGGTCTCACTGAGCTGTTAAGCACCTTTCCGTTGCTAAGGCTGGCTTTCGAACTCGAGATCCTCCTGCCTCAGCCTCCTGAGCCTCTGGGATTGTAGGTGTGTGTCACTGCACCCTGCGCCAATGAATCAAGTTTTTAAAAACAAACGTGTCAAAGATTTTATTGAACTCATCAATTAATGAGAGAACTAGCAAGAAGTTACAATCAGTTTAAAGAACAATTCAAATTCCCACATATGTAGTTCTGCTGATAATGATGAGTTAAAAATTTATAGATAACAAACTGAATTTTTCCATGGCATAAAAAATAAAATAAATAAAAGAATTTTTCCATGGCGGTAGAAGAGATGAAATAATCTTCCTTCCATAGGGACAAATTAATTTGTATGTCTATGGAGAAGAAGTATTTGTGTTGTCTTAAACTTTTTCTTTTGAAAGTTTAATCAAGTATCACAAGAAACATGAAAGGATATGAAATCATAAGACAAGTACGGTTACGATGTGTTTCCCAAATCCTACTGCCCCAGTGTTGTTCTGGAGAATTCTTATCCCATTAGGTGGCTTATGGTCCCTGAGGCTAAAGTGATACAATCTGTCCAAAGCCACAAAACTAGATAGCAGCAGAGCATGGCCTCCAGCCAGTTTCTTATGCTAGATTTTAGTTGTCCACAATTGTTTTATTTAGTGTTTCCTGAGTACCTACTGTGTGCCTGGTCCTATGCTACAAATTAAAGATACAGAGATGAATCAGACATGAGAACAAGAACAAGGTTCCATGAGAGCAAGAATGTCTATTGCTTCTGGAACCTTGGTGAATGCCAGCACATAGTAGTTATTCAAATAATCATAGAATTATGCAATAATCATAGAATTGTTCAATTATTAAATAATCATAGAATTATTCAAATAATCAGCTGGGGGTGTAGCTCAGTGGTAGAGTGCTTGCCTAGCACCACCGAAGCCCTGGGTTCCATCCCTGACATTGCAGGGGAACAGAGTAGAATGAATAAAAATGTATGTGATCTTTGTTTTCAGGGAAATCTACTGAGGGTCTCCAGAGCTCCACCAAATCATGTATAGCTAAACTATATCAGGTTTCTTGACTTGTTTAGTTTCCCCTCTGCGTAGCCGATCTCAGAAGGGGGAACTGAGGCTGTGAGGTGCTACCTGTCAGAGGCAAGTCAGGGGCAGGCTGGAGCCTGGTTCTGTGGCTAAAGCTTCTATTTTCCCCAGTAGCTATTTCCCCCGTCATATGGCCATACCGTTCCCCATCTTGATATGAGATTGCTGTCAGTATCTACCAGATTTCAAAATCTAAAGCAAGAAGTTTTAGCCTTTAAACTCAGTCCATTTACGGGAAATGGAACTCTCAGACCTAAGCAAAGTAGATATATCATTATCAAAAATCAAAAGCAGCTGGGCGCAGTGGCACACACCTGTCATCCCAGCAGCTTGGGAGACTGAAACAAGGGGATTGCAAGTTCAAAGCCAGCCTCAGCAATGGCGAGGCACTATGCAACTCAGTGAGACCCTGTCTCTCAATAAAACACAAAATAGGGCTGGGGATGTGGCTCTGTGGCCGAGTGCTACTGAATTCAATCCTGGTTCGGCTCACCCCTCCAAAAAAAAAAAAAAAAAATCAAAAGCAAGCTGGACTTAGCTAAGTATTATCACTACATTTAAAAAAAAATTTTTGTAGTTGTAGATGAACCGCATGCCTTTATTTTATTTTATGTGGTGCTAAGGATTAACACAGTGCCTCTCACCTTACACGTGCCAGGCAAGCGCTCTGCCACCAAGCTACAGCCCTAACCCCGTCACTACATTTTTTAATGAAAATTCGGATAAAATATTGATAGCATAAAATTTACCATCTTCATCATTTTTAAGTGTACTATTTGGTAGCGTTGAGTACATTTACAATGTTGTGCAACCATGGCCACTATCCATTTCCAGAACTTTTTCATCATCCTAACACAGAAACTGTACCCTTTATATAATAACCCTCATTCCTCTTGCCCTTAGGTCCTGGCAACCTCTATTCTACTTTTTCTCAACTTTTCTATTTAGGTCCCTCGTAAAAGTGGAATGACACAATATTTGTCCTTTGGTGACTGGCTTTCTTCACTTAGCATACTGTTTTTTTGTTTTGTTTTGTTTTAAGAGAGAGAGAGAGAGAGAGAAAGAGGGAGAATTTTTCAATTTTTTTTATTTTTTATTTTTCAGTGGACACAACATCTCCATTTCATTTTTTTTTCTATTTGGTGCTGAGGATTGAACCCAGTGCCCCGCGCATGCCAGGCAAGCACACCACTGCTTGAGCCACATCCGCAGCCCTAGCATACTGATTTTTTAAAAATATTTATTTTTTAGTTATAGGTGGACACAGTGTCTTTATTTTATATTTATGTGGTGCTGAGGATTGAACCCAGTGCCTCATGCATGCTAGGCGAGCGCTTTATCTCTGAGCCACAATCCCAGCCAAATAGCATAGTGTTTTTTGAGGCTTATTTGTATTGTAGCATTTGACAGAAATTCATTCCATTTTATGGCTGGTGAGCTAGGTTTAAAGCCTCAGTTTTCAAACTTGAGAAATGGGTGTATTTCTCAGCTATATCCCTTAAGTATATTATTTCATTTTATAAATATATTTGAGTATATGTATGCTTGTATATATGTATGTCTCTCTATTTTTTTATTTTTATTTTTATTTTTTGCAGTGATAGGTATCAAACCCAGGACCTTGTACGTGCTAGGCAAGTGCTCTACTGCTGAGCCACAAGCCACACTCCTGGCACCCCTCCCCACATATTATTATAAATTAATCAAATAATTGGAAAAAATCTAGAGGTGGGCTAGTAGCTCAGAGGTAAAGTGCTTACCTAGCATGCACCAGGCCCTAGATTCAATCCCCAGCACTACAAAATATACAAATAAAGGCCTTATTCAAGGAGCCTAAGTTTGCATGAGAAAGTTGAGGTTCCAGAAAGCTTAGCTAATTTCTGTTAACCCAGTTCCATGGGCAGAGGGAAGACAACCCTTGCTCCTTTTTGCATGTTGCTCTAAAATCATGAAATGTTTTTAGTTTTTCTATCTCAGTGGACATTTCATTTTATTAATGGAGAAAGCTAACTTGAAAGTACTTCCTCCAGGCCAGTGTGGGAATCTGGGGGAGGATGCATTTGAGAGGATGCAAGGAGGGACAGTGTTCATATTTTTGACTTTGCTTTTTCATCCCCGCCCGTCCCCAGGGAAATGATTCGCTGGGTCCTCTTCAGCATGCAGGCCACAGGCCACATGCTGCTGGGCACCTCCTGCTACCTGCAGCAGTTCCTGGATGCCACAGAGGAAGAAGGGCAGCCCTCCAAGGCCAAGGCCTCATCCCTCATTCCGAGTTGTCTGAAGATACTGCAATGAAAGCCCAGATCTCAAGGTCTTCCACCAGCCCAGGACGAGACTGGGAACCCTGTGCTCAGCTGGTAGCACCCACAAGCCTGGCAGCTAGAGAGCTTCTTACCTCCCCCATACTTCCCTCACTGCAGAAGACCATGAATAAGGAAGCAGAGGAATGACTGGGACCCTGGGGTGGGCTGGTCAAAGGAGAACTTTGGGTTCCTGGCCTGACCCAGCTCCTTCCTTCCCCAGGTAGCTTAGCTGACCTAAGACTGGTCACCCTCAGTCTGTCCCTCAAAAATCTGTCTCCACATGCTGCACTTTATGCCACTCCCTCCCCCTTGCCTTCCCACCCTACTCCTGAGTGAATCGTCAAGCCCACTAATGTATGAGAGTAGAGAGTTCACAATAAACTATTTATACAAATATATCCTCTTTGCTTGTATTCTTTGGGGGTGGGGCTCTGTTTGGAAGGTTGAAAAAGATCAAAGCAAGAGAATAATCCACTTGCAAATAATTCTGTATAGGTGGCATTACGGGGAACAGCACTTTTTATTTTAAGAAAATCACAGCTGGGGGGCAGTGGTACGTGCCTGTCATCCTAGCAACTTGGAAGGCTGAGGCAGGAGGATCACAAGTTTGAGGCCAGCCTCAGCAACTAAGCCAGATCAAAAGCAACTTAGTGAGAAATAAAATAAATAAATAAAAAGGGCTGGTGATGTAGCTTAGTCGTAAAGTGCCCCCTGGGATCAATCCCCAATTACCCCCCCCCCCCCAAAAAAAAAAAATCACAAGTTTGGATTTAAAGTCTGCTGAATCTGAGCCTTGAACAGATGATGTAACCAATACCAGGTCAACTTCAAAATGAAATTTGCCTATTGGAAGAGCTTCCATTAGTGGATTTAGTCATTCTTCTAACTCCTCAGTGTCACATTTTATAACAACTTTTAAAATGTTGAGGTGGAAAAGAACTAGTCAAGCAATAAGGCAATTCTCTGTTAATGCCTATCCTAGCTTGCTAGTTTATCTTTCATGATAGAACTTTCTTGTCTTTTTTTAGTACCTGAGCATTGAACCCAGGGGCACTGTGCCACTGAGCTAGATCCCCAACCCTTTTTTAAAAAATTTTTTGTAGAAAAAATGCCTTTATTTTATTTGTTTATTTTTATGTGGTGCTAAGGCTCGAACCCAGTGCTTCACACATACGAGGCAAGTGCTCTGCCACTGAGCTACAGCCTCAGCCCCCCAACCCTTTTTATTATTCATTTTGAGACAGGATCTTGCTAAGTTGCTGAGGCTGGCCTCAAACTTATGATCCTCCTGCCTCAGCCTTCAAATCATTGCAATTATAGTTGTACACCACTGGGACTGGCATGTTCAGAACTTTCAACCTTGGGATTTCAAGTGAGCTTTTATTGGTGGTAGAGGGCTTGCCTAGCACATGTGAGGCACTGGGTTCGATCCGTGGCACTGCATAAAAATAAACAAATAAAATAAAGGCATGGTGTCCATCTACAACTACAAAAACAAATTTTTTTAAAAAAGAGCCCTTAGGGTAGCTTCAAAGTACAAAGATTCGTGTCTTTGGTGTGAACTGGCATTTTTCAATCTCAGGCAACTCACAAGCATGAAGGCTGGTGCATGGCACACTCTATAATCCCAGCAACTCAGAAGGTAGAAGCAGGAGGATTTCCTCAAGGCCAGCCTCAGCAATTTATCGAGGCCATAAGCAATTTAGCAAGATCCTGTCTGAAAAAATAAAAAAGGACTGGGCTGTAGCTCAGTGGTAGAGCACCCCTGAGTTAAATTCCCCGTACCAGGAAGAAAGACAAAAATAAAGATAGTTCAATAAGTTTTGGCAAATATGGTCATGGTGGTCACGTAACCACCATTTCTGGCATGCCCTAAATTCCTCCTACGTCCCTTCATCTATCCCCCCATCACCTATTCCCACCCCAAACTTCTGGCAATCACTGGTTTCTGCCAATATAATTTTCCTTTTTAAAAATGTCATATAAATAGGATCATGCTGTCATTTATTGACTTAGTTATTGATACTGGGGGCTGAACCCAGGGGTGCTCTACCATCTAGCTACATCCCCAGCCCTTTTTATTTATTATTCTGAGACAGAGTCTCACTAAGTTGCTTAGGGCCTACCTAAATTGCTGAGGCTGGCCTCAAACTTGAGATCACTGGGATTACAAACATGTGCCACCATGCCCAGACAAATAGTCAATTTTTAAAAAATATGAATAAGACTAGCCGGTTGTGGGTGTCACACACCTGTAATCCCAGTGATGTGGGAGGCTCAGGCAGGAGGATCATGAGTTCAAAGCCAGCCTCAGCAGAGGTGAGGTGCTGAGCAACTCAGTGAGACCCTGTCTCTAAATAAAATACAAAATAGGGCTGGGGACGGGGCTCAGTGGTTGTACCTCAGAATTCAGTCTCCGGTACAAAAAAAAAAAAAAAAAGATGCACAAGACTGACAAGAAATTTAGCAAAAATGCTCCACCTTGAGGGTATAACTGCATTGTTATAAGCTCTCAGTATTTGAGAATCCTTTTTTGAAAGTTCCTCTCTGCACTCAAGTACCAGTTGGAGCAAGAACTAAGGCAAAACTAAGTTCAAGGGTCTGGCTCACAGCCCACCTCAGTTGCAGCAGACCTCTCCTCCATTGGCTGTGCCTGGTCCAGGAAAGGCCATTCTCCCACTTGGACTGGCCCCTGGCACTCCAGAGGTCCCGGCTCCTTTGCTCTTTGGAATTTTGCCTTCCCAGCTCCCCAGTTCCCCAAGGACTGCCCTTTTCTCTTCACTTCCTACAGCTGCTTTGACTCCATTAGACCCTGAGCTCCTGGAAGAAAAGGAAGAACCTAATTTCCCCTGGGCTGAGAGGGCTCAGTGCCAAGAAACCACAGTTCGTCACTCAAGACTCACTTGTGAAACTCCTGGCCTTGGGAGGAATGGAGCTTGGGACAAACCAGCTTGCACTGTCCCTCTCCAACTCAGTTATTAATAACTTTGAGTGGGTAGGCCACTGTTTCAGCAAGAGTGGAACAGGAATAACTTGTGTGCTAATACAAATGTTATGCCTCCCTGCCAGAAGACCCACCCCATGGAGCCGGCCTCCACCACAACTTGCAAGTGCAGGACAGCCCAGAGTAGAAAGCTCTCTTTGGCTGAATTTGGGAGCTTTTCCCACATGTCTGCAGGGCAGGGGACAGCTGCCAGCATTAGCTTCCCAGACTAGCTTTGGTAACCCAACCCTTTGTCTTAGTAATTACTGAATCCAAATGGGCTTTATACTAAGTGTTAGGAATGATGTAATTTTCAACTCTGAGAATCACAGATTTATACAAGGCCAGCCTTTTGTATTTGTCTTTTAAAAAATTTTTTAGGTACTGAAGGCTGAACCCAGGGGCACTCTACCACTGAGCTACAGAGATCCCCAGTCCATTTATTTTTTTATTTTGAGGCAGGGTCATTTTAAGCTGCTTAGAGCCTCCTTAAGTTGCTAAGGCTGAATTCTAACTTGTGATCCTCTTGCCTCCATCTATGTAGGTGCTGGGATCACACCTGATTCTGTCTTTTAATTTTTTTATTTCTATTTTTTGTACATTTTAAAAAATATTATGAATCAGTCTTTTGTATCTGGCTTAGTTGTGTCTTTTTTTTTTTTTTTTTTGGTATTGGGATCACTGAGCCACATTCCCAGCCCTTTTAATTTTTTAATTTTGAGACCAGGGTCTTAATAGATACGGAAAATGAAAAATCCCCAAGATAATATGACCTGAGAAAGAAAACCATCCATTGACAGCTTTCCTCCCTCAAGACAAATGCTTGTTGCAGGTGGGAGGAGGTGTTTCATTATACCTAAAGTGACAAATATCTGGGAGGCATTGATCTCCCTCAGAGTAAATTCCCCTCAGACATGGAACACAGATCCCCAACTCAAAAGTCCAAATTCCTAAGCACTAAAACTGACACATTCACTGATCAATTAGACCCCAAATTCCTGTGTGCCCAAGAAAACTGATCACCTCTCAGGATAACCTATATAATCCAAGTCCCTTTTTTTTTGTTTGGGGGCTCATTTTCCACCAGGAAAGTGGGGCCCACCACGCAGTCACTTCGTCCCTGCTTCCCCTGTTCGTGTGTGAAACTTTGTTCCTGAATAAAAGCACTGAGCTGATTTGTGAAATTTGGTCTTTTTGTGCTAGCAGGTCTCACTAAGATGCTGAGGCTGGCCTTGAACTCGTGATTTTCCTGTCTCAGCCTCCAAATTGCTGGGATTACAGGCGTGTGTCACCACACCGGACTTTTTCCTTTTTTTTTTTTTTTTTTTTTAGTTATAGATGGGCACAATACCTTTACTTTATTTTTATGGTGCTGAGGCTTAAACCCAGTGGCTCACATATGGGAGGCAAGCGCTCTACAACTGAGCCACAACCCCAGCTCTCTGGCTTAGATTTTTAAACTTTGTGTGCAAGGGTGTGAAGAAGAAATATATTGACAAAGTACAAAATTTGAATAGTTTTGTGTTTTTTAACGTTTTGTTACTATAACCAAAAGACCCGACAAGAACAATTTGGAGGAGGAAAATTTAGTCTGACTCACGTTTCAGAGGGTTAGTTCGCGGTCAGCTGACTCCATTGCTCAGGGTCCCGGATGAGGCAAGAACATCATGGCGGGAGGCCTGATGGAGGATCGCTGATCTGCGCATGGAAGCCCAGAACCAAAGAGTTCAAGGAGCCAGAGACAAAATTATAATCCCCAAAGGCACACTCCAGTGATCTGCTTTCTTCAGTCATACTCAACCTGCCTACAATTACCACCCAAAATCCAAATTATTAATCTATCAAATGGATTAATCCACTGGTGAGGTTATAGTCTCACTTCTGAACTTTTTCTGCACTGCCTAACATGAACTTTTCCTGGAACACCTCATATCCAAACCATAACAAGTCCCAAAGGATAAAAATAATTACTCATATTCACCTCTACCTTTGTCTGTTTTCTGTTGCTG